AAAAAAAAAAAAAAAAAAAACCCCCCCCCCCCAAAAAAAAAAAAAAAAAAAAGCCCTCTGGTAACATTCCTACACAGAATCTTACCGAAGCTCGTTAGCTCAGCATCAAGGACCACCACTATCTGGATCCTTTTAGCTTTCCTTTCGTGTCCTCCCACACCCTAAAGCAGTGTGTCGTCTTTGTGGTGTTTGAGGCCCGTGCAGTTGAATCCTGATCCCACCGTTTTCCCCGGAAACTAATTTGAATTGGAAGTGTCTTAGATATTAAAATTTTCATTTTTTGGTATTCACATTCTACTCCATTTCTGAGGTGTACCAAACGTGATAATACCCAGGCAGTCTGAACTGAGAGCCCACTCACAATATGCCAAAGCCTGCCTGTGCTTCTTGGGATAATTTCCAGAACAATCCAATTAGACATTACCTTTCAACTGAGGAAGTAGACGGAGAAAGGTCCCAAGGTTACCCATGCCTTCCAGAGCCTGTGCTGTTAACCTCTGGGCTATGCTTAGAAATATTTTTAGATAAAAGGAATACCAGTTAAGTGTCACTCAGCTTTGTATATTTTTTTATTTTAATTTTTAAAATTAAAATAGAAAGTTTTTATTGATTGATTTTAGAGAGAGGAACGTTGACCCCTGTATGTGCCCTGACAGGGGATCAACCCCTGAACTTTGGCTATCCTATGCTCTAACCAATTGAGCTACACAGCCAGGGCCTGTATCTTCTTAAGAGTTCCTAAAATCAAAAGAAGTATTGCAAGTCTGAGGAATAGCAAGGAGAGGGTAAAGGAATCTATTTGATTTTATAAACAATTTAGAAAAACACGTGAAAGGTTGATAGTCATATAAATTAATATTGTACAAAGGGTGGTGAGCTCGTTCTTTTTCTTAGAAAGAGGAATCAAGATTAAATATGAACTAAGTGACTTAAATAGGGCCTGCTAGTTTAGGTGTCAAAGGAATTAACTGTTTGAATATAATAAAAGAGTCAGTAGGCAGTTAACTCACTAGGTCAGAAGTGCATTTTGGTACTTTCAAGCTTAGATTTACATGTAAAGTAATTAGGTATACTACCCACCTGCAGGATATGGACAGTTGAGTGGGCTTTTTTTTTTTTTGCTTTGTTTTGTTTAAATTAGGTGCCTCTCAGACTTTTATTCATGCTTACTACTTAACCTCTGAGTTCTGTTTTACATAAAGTGAGAATTTCACTGATTTCATTTCAGCAGGTGCCTCTCAGAAAAAATTCTTCTCATTTTCTTTAAAATTACTTTATATATGAACTTTGATATAATTTAATAGCTAAGCTTTTCTGTTAAATGTCTTTTGATTGTAATGTTCTAAATGACCTATCTATAAATATGTCTGTTTTCATATCACTGTTGCTTATTAAGGAGAATGATAACTGAAAATAGTCATTTAGAAGCTAAAAACTGATTCTGAATCTCCATGTTTTATTTTGTAGAACCAGAATTAGTGGTCCATGGTCCAGCTATACTTACAGAATCAGCAAATGATACTAATGAAAATAAGGAGATTTCCAGCCTTTCGGATAGTATGTTTTGGATGGCAGTGCCCAAAAACAGACGCAGCATTGAAGTTAACCGGTGTAGGAGAAGAAATCCCCAGAAGCTTATTAAAGTGAAGGTAGTATGTTGATTTTCGTGGGTGTACTTTTTCTCATGACTACCACTGCATATCTTCCTGGTATATTCATATAACATATGAGTAAAGTATTCTCAGATCTTGTATGTCCACTTTCTTCTGACATAAGCAAAATAAAATATTTTCAGTATGTATGTCTACTGTCCTGTAGCCTAAATATAGGAACATAGTCAAGGAAGGAGTTTGGAGTCTTCATAGAGGACTGGGTTGTGAAGAGCTTAGCTAAATGACTTTTTAACTGTGAGCTGTGCCAGTCCTGAGCTATGTGATTTTGAGCTATATATGGGTAAACATCTTCATTGTGGCAGAACCTAAAATTAAAGTTAGAAGCAGTAGTTATATTGGGTTTTGGGTTTTACTGGCCTTTACTTACGTATTCTATTCTTTACTGTGTCCAGTAAAATACTGTGAAGAAAAATCCTTAGATTGGTAATAAAAATAGCTAACATCTATTAAGTTCCTATAATGTATCTAAGATGTGAATTATTTCATCAGTCTAACAACAGCCCTCCAAGGTAAATATTGCTTTGGTCATTTTTAGGATGAAGAAACAGACAAAAAGAATTTACCTGTGGTCACAAACTGTTAAGTGGTGGAGTCAGATTTTGAGCACTGGCAGTCTAATTCTTGAGCTCAAATTCTTCTGTTTAAACTTTCTTGTGTGTTCCTATCCTCAGATAGTTCTAGATCTCCATGCTCCATTGGATGTATGGCTACACACTCTTCATTGATCTAGTAAAAAGTATAGTGTTTATTACCTTTGATCTGTTAATTTATGGCTTTATAGCCATGTTTGAATTACCGTGGTACCTCAGTTTTCTAATGTAATCCGTTCTGAAAGGCCATTTGAGTTGTGAAATGTTCCAAAACTGAGGCGTGGTTTCCCATAGAAAGTAATGCAAAATGGATTCATCCATCCCAGACATTTAAAATCAACCCCAAAATGGCAATTTAACATGAATTTTACTATCTAATGATACCATAGATCCATAAAATGATACGCAATGAGAGCAATAAACACAATATACTATACTGTATAAGCAATAATAAACACAGTGTAAATAGTACCGTAGATGATAAAAATGAAAATTAATTTTTTCTTACCTGCAGTGTTGATAGTCATGGTTTGGATGGGGGGTCCCCTTCAATAATCACAATAAGTAACTGTCCTTCAGGTGTTCTATGGTCCTCTTCCAGAAGCACAGTAGGTTACTGTTGTTCAGGTGTTCTGTAGCCCTCTTTCATAATCACTGTAGGTGACTCCTCTCCTGCCATTCCTTCCCTTAATTTTTTTACACCACTGAGACCTGGTTCAGATTCACTGGATCTTTTCCTCACTAAAAATTTTTCAATTGACATTTGCTTTTTCCAATGTTTTAAAATTTGTCTAAAATGAGACATAGCATTATCATTGAAAGTATTAGCGGCATGACTTACAGCAGCTTTATCGGTGATATTTTTCAACAAAAATTTGTAGTTAACCCATTTTGTACACATTTCTTTGATTAGTGCAGTAGAAACACTTTCTCTTCCCTCCTCCTCTGAAGACAATTCCTCAGTTGCCACCTGTTGCTGCTCAGTCAGAGTGTTTTCAAGTTCTTCTGTGGTGAGTTCAGTCTTATGGTCCTCCACTAACTCCTCCACATCTTCACTACTCACTTCCAAGTCCATGGACTTTCCCAGAGACACAATATCCTCAACAATAGGAGCACCCTCTTCAGTATCCTCAAATACACATTCAGGGACAGCTTTTGACCATAATGTCTTCCATGCTGACTTCATTGTTCTGTGAGACACATCCCTCCAAGCTTTGTCTATGAGATGGAAGCAGTGTAGGATATTGAAATGATTCTTCTAGAACTCTCTGAGGGTTAGCTCTGTGAGGTCACCTCAAAGCACCTTAGGAACAGTGCTTTGATGTAAAGCTTCTTAAAGTTAGATATGACCTACTCGTCAATGGGCTGGATGAGTAGAGTTGTGTTAAGGGGCAAAAACTTTACTTCAATAAAACTGAACTCTTCCATAAACTCGTCCTCCAAGCTTGGAAGGTGAGCTGGAGCATTATCCATAACAAGCAGGTAATTCATTGGAAGATTTTTGTCTTGGAGGTATTTTCTTACACTTGGCCTGAACACTTCATCAACCCACTCAAAAAATTGCATAGTTACCCAAGCTTTGCTGTTTGACCACCACATCATATGCAATTTGCTTTTTATGGCATTGTTTTTCTTAAGTACCCTGGGGTTCTCGATTGGTAGACTAGCAAAGGCTTCAACTTAAAATCCCCACTTGCAATCCCACAAAATAAAAGGGTTAGCCTGTCTTTCATGGGCTTGTGTCCTGGCAATGATTTACCCTCCTTTGTTATGTAGGTCCTCTTTGGCATTTTCTTCCAAAAGAGGCCTGTCTCATCACAGGTGAAAACTTGTTGGGGAAGGAAACCCTCTGCCTCTACATAATCTTTAAATTCCAAAACAAATTGTTTGGCATCTTCTTTGTAGGCCCTGGTAGCTTCACCATGTCTTACCATACTGTGTGTGCCACTTCTCTTCTTAAACTTTTCAAACCATCCTCTACTTGCCTTGAAAATATCACTCTCAGCACTTGTTCTATGGGTGTTTTTGATGAGATCAGCATACAAATGAAAAGCTTTTTTACAAATGCTCTCAAATGCTGTCACTGGCCAACTGTTTTTCACTTATCCATATGAAAAGCAATTTTTCCACTTCTTCAGTTGTCTGTGTTCTTTGTCTTGTGTTTTAACACCTCTTGCAACATTGGCTCTTTTAATGGCTTCTTTATTTTTTAAGGTGGTACAAATTGTAGATTTGGCCATACCAAACTGTGTTGCCAGATCACATACATGGACACCACTTTCATGTTTGGAAATAATTTCCCTCTTCACCTCTATTATTGTTTTGCTAATGATTCTCTTGGCTTTGCAGCTTTTACCCATTTCTCACAGCAAGGGGTGATTGGCAGAGGGCTCCTGATTGATTGCACACAGTCACAAAAACAAACTGGTTGCAAGAGTGCTCCTGAGATGAGATGAGCACAGATTGATTGTATACAGTCACCAAATAAGCCCAAATATCACCTCCGTGTTAGGCGGGTCTTCAGGGCTCCACTGCCAACAGCTAGGCCTCAGGCTCTTGCACTCAGTGGAAGCTGTGTGGCATGTTCAACTTCCGTGATGTGTTAAAAAACCCAAGCATTTCCAGGTTTACGGCGTTTGTAAGCCGAAACGTTTTACAATGGAGGTGTTTGAAAACCGAGGTACCACTGTACTGGCATTCCACAGCAGCAGCACAGTGCAGTTGAAACTCCAGAACAGAGAACTGAACTTACTATTAAGCTTCCACATTCATTATTAAACTAAACCCTTAGAACTTAAGCCAAGAAGTATTACTGAGTCAAAATTGGGACTAGACTTAAAATCTGGAACTGAAAAATACTTCATTAATTAAAACAACAATAATTCATACAGTTTGTTGAGAGAATTTCAACTACAATTTTATGATATATCTGTTTATTGCATTGTGTTTTCACCACCTAAAATCAAGTCTCCTTCCATCAACATGAATTTGGCTTCCTTTACCTTCCTCTATTTTCCCTACCTGCCACCTTTTCTGCTAACCACCACACTGTTGTCTGTGTCTATGAGTGTTTTGTTTTGTTTGTTGCTTTCTGTTTTATATCCCACATATGAGTGAAATTATATGGTTCTTGTCTTTTTCAGGCTTACATCACTTACTATGATAGTCTCAAGATTCAAATGGCAGTATTTCATTTTTTCTTATGGCTGAGTAGTAGTATACTGTGTATATGTACCACATCTTCTTTATCCAATCATCTACCAAAGGATAGTTTGGTGGTTTCCATGTGAATAGTGCTATAATAAATATAGGGGTAAATATACATCTTTACAAATAAATATTTTCAAATTTTTCAGGTCAGTACCCCAAATTGCTGGATCATAGGGTAGCTCAATTCTTAATTTTTTGAGGAACCTCCTTACTGTTTTCCAGAATGGTTATGTCAATTTACATTCCCACTAGTAGTGTATCAGTTTCTTTTTCTCCCCATCCTCTCCAACACTTGTTTTTATTAATTGATTTTAGGGAGAGAGAAAGAAACATCAATTTGTTGTTCCACCCATCCATGCATTCATTGGTTGATTCTTATATGTACCTTGACCAGGGAGAGAACCCATAATCTTGGCATATTGGGACAATGCTCTAACCAACTGAGCTACCGCCAGGGCTCATGGTGGCTTTAATTTGCATTTCCCTTATTACTAGTAAAGTTGAGCATCTTTTTAGATATCTTTTGGCCATTTATATGTCTTATTGGGAGAAGTGTCTGTTAGGCCCCCCATCCATTTTTTTAATTGATTGATTTTTTTGTACAGTTGTATGAGTAATTTTTATATTTTGGATATTAGACTCTTATTGGAGGTATTGTTTGCAAATGTTTTCTCCCATTCAGTTGGTTGCCTTTTTGTTTTGTTAGCAGTTTCTTTTGCTGTGCAAGAGCTTTTTAGTTTGATGTCCATAGTCCCATTCATTTATGTTTGCTTTTACTTCTCTTGCCTTAGGGTTCAAATTCATAAAATCCTCTCAGACCAAGATCCATAAGTTTAGTACCTATGTTTTCTTCTATGTATGTTAATGTTCCAGATCTTATATTTAGGTCTTTGGTCCACTTTGAGTTAATTTTTGTCTATGGTATCAAATAGCAGTCTATTCTTTTGCATATGAGTTTCCAATTTTCCCAGCACTATATATTGAAGAGGCTTTCTTTTCTCCGTTGTATGGTTTTGGCTCCTGTGTCAAAAATTAGTTTCCCACATATATGTGGGAATTTTTTCTGGGCTCTCAGTTTTATTCCATTGATCTGTATGTTTTTCTTCCTACTGTTTCAATACTATAGCCTTGTAGTATAATTTGAAGTCAGGGAGTGGGACACCTCTGGCTTTGTTC